AGCTGATCGGCAGAGCGGGGCAGCCCTTTAAATTTAAATGAAGCCGCGATTATTTTAATCGAGGCTTCATTTCCCTCTGCCGATCTGTCTAATCTACATGCCTCCGTCGACAGAGGCATGTAGTTTAGACGTACCCCCAGAGTGCTAGGTCAGATCTACTCAATCTAGTTCTCCTCCATGCCTGGAAGTTGAAAGGCGGTTTTTGGTTACAAAACTTGCCAGTGTAGACAAGGCCTCAGGTTTTGGTGATATAGTTGATGAATTAGGGTATGTCTACACTAGCCCCCTAGTTCGAACTAGGGAGGCTAATGTAGGCATTAGAAGTTGCAAATGAAGCCCGGGATTTAAATATCCCTCACTTCATTAGGATGTTCCCAGGAGGTTGCCATTTTTGGAAACTGACTAGCCTGGGAGAACTGCCCGCGTCTACACGCGGCAGAGAAGGGTGATTCCGAAATAAACCCCTTAGTTCGAATTACCAGTTAAACTTCATGGAATGGAATGAGGTTTAACTGGTAATTCAAAGTAAGGGGTTTATTTCAGAATCACCCTTCTCTGCCGCGTATAGATGCAGGCAGTTCTTCAGGGCTAGTCAATTTCCAAAAATGGCGACCGCCTGGGAACATCCTAATGAAGCGCGGGATATTTAAATCTCACGCTTCATTAGCAACTTTGGTATGCTTCGTTTGCCTCCCTAGTCCGAACTAGGTTGGAAACCTGTAAGAAAGACTGTTGGTTTTCCCTCTGTAACCAACAAATATACTCTGCTGTGGTCCTTCATGTACCATGAAATTGCCATTGTATGATATATGGATGTCAAATGACTTGGTCAAAACTGGCCAATGAGAGATAGCAACTGAGTCTGGGCTAAGAGTCAAGACCCTTTAGGTTTGCCTTAACACCTAAGGAATGACATCCTAGTTACATCTTTCCTAAGCTGCCTATTTAAAACCTCCTTTCAAATGAGAAAGACAAACCAGTTAGTAGACAGAGAAACATCTTTGGTACCAAAAGTAGGAGTGAGAGAACTACCTCTAGGACTGACCTAAAATAGGAACGGTCCTTAAGAAACACATTATTATGACTCACAATAATTTATTGTCAGGCCCTGATGCCTCAACTTCATTGCACTTTCATATGACTCAGCAAAAGGGTAGGGGGAATAGGAAACTGATTATGGCTCCCTGATTCTTGGCGCTGATAGATGACACCCTGGCACAGGTGAAAACAATCTAGGGCCGCTCCAGCTGTTGCTAGATGGCTATGTTCCCTAATGGTCCATGCATCAGTAGAATCAGAGATGGAGTACAGTATATTTTGCCCATGCTGCCTCCCTCTTCCTACACTGTGGTTGAGTGGATGGGATGGGTCTAGCACAAGGTCTCAGTACACAGCTCTGTGACAGCTGAAAGACACCCCCTTGCCAGGCGAATTCACAGCAGTGGCCAGAGTGGCTGCTCTGCAGCCCTTTTGCACGTCTCGGATGGTGGGAAGAGGCTGGGGTGCTTAGGAGGATTTAGCAAGATATTGTCCGAGTCCCACTCAAATTGCACAGACTCCAGACCAACTGAGTTAAAATATACCACTTCAAAACAAATGAGCTACAAGCTCAGGGACAACATAGGCTCAAGGCAAGAGGTTGAAGCTCACTATTGCTGAATAGTGTCTCTGACCGGGGTTCAACAAATACAGCCTGTTTCTGATTTGATCCAGTCATATCCAGATACTGTCCTGCTGCAGCTGGGACTGAACATTCACAGGCACTGACAGCAGGATGTTGTGCTGCTTTGACAGCTCTGCCCCTTCTGGGGGAACCCTTCGATTCCCATTAGCTTTCCCGCAAAACAAAACAAAACAAAACAAACAAAACAAAACAAAACCAGTCTTTAAAATGGCAACAGGTTTCATTTCAGGTCAGTAACCACAACCTCTTCCAGTGTCTGCTTCAGGCTTTCTGCAACTGGGGAAAATGGTGGGAGGCAGAGACATGACTGGTGTGCAGAGGATACGCTTCTGCATTCAAGATGCCCTATTATTTGGACTGAAGGACGACCCTGACATTTGAATGTGGGGAGTATGAGTAAGCCTTCAGTCTTCTTTCCCTCGTGTGCACGCCCACTCCCCCTAGCCACTCAGTCATACACTGGCTTTGGGCTGGGTGAGGGAGTAGAATGGGGGGACAGAACGGGTGGCCTGAGGTAGCATCAGCATGTAGAGCAGTAAAGTGTCTCTGGCAGCGCAGACTGCTTGGTACTGCTGTCTGACTGTCTAATTCACCATCATCAGGGCACCTAGAAGGGCCTGCTGAAAATTGAGCTGACAGGAAATTACACTTGCTAGAAGACTAATGGATGTGCAGAGAACAGAATGTAACTTTCATGGTAGCACAATGTGCTTTGGCCTCTCCTCAAGAAGGTTTTTGTGGGTGTCTGTGAGAACAGGCATGAAAGATTGAGAGAGAACAGAGACTCAAGGGATCTGACTGGGAGCACTGGAAGGATGAAGCAATTAGCACAGACTGGTGCATATCTGTGCCACCTCAGCAGCAGCGCAGAAAAGGAATTGCAACTCAGAGAATCCCATAGCCTCTCTTGATACCCCTTGCTTCAGGGCTAAGTTACTTCCTATTCCAGAGCTCCATAACAGAGGCAGATGACTTCCTGTCGATACCAGCTCCAGAGTCATTTACGTTCCACCGGTTCATGCCATGCAGGGAGTGGAGCCAAGGCTTCTATGTCTTCCTGTCCCTCTTTGCTCCCACCCCACCCACATGACTGCAGTGGGAACAGTGGCCATATGGAGCTTTCTTTCCCATTCCATCACAAGCAGCAATGTGGGTTGGAGGGAAGCGTAGAGGAGGTTTTATGCCCCAGTGTAGCCATGGAAGGTTGGACTACAATCTGGCTCCAAGAGAGACAAGAGAGGAAGAAGCCATGTATGGACTGAGAAGGGGTTACTAATACTACACATGCTATTCCAGACCAGGTGGTATCATTGATTTATATTCAGCATTATAATATTTCCAGTTTATGATTCTCATCTCATTCTTTATACATAATGGTAGCTTTTTTTAAGCACAGCTCTTCACTGAGCTGTCTACACTTGACACCCAGATTGCTGTCTTAAGCTGATACAGCTAATTTAGAAGCTTATAAAGTTTATGAGCCATTTAAGTTTTCCCTTCCAGTGTACATTATTTTGCATTTATCCACTGAATTTAATTTTCCTATTGCACAAGGCTTCTGAAATGTAGGTTACCCATGTGATGGTCTTTCTGTAGTTGTATTATCTTCCTGCCGTAGGCATTGCTATCATCTATGTTCCTACGTGTGGGCACCTAGCTAATAAACTTAATCAGTGTCATATCCCCAGTGAATGCTGACAACAGCTTGCTAAACAGACTGCTCCAGCCACAGTAATTGTGATGCCATGTTATAGGTGACCTTGCATTTTTTTGTTCTCTAGAGAAACCTGGAGCAGACACTGTGGTGCTGTCTTTGAGAAGGCTTCCCAGGGCACAGCAATCCATGGCACACCCAATGAGACACAGTACTGGGATGGAAACACCAGTCTGGGGAGGGTGTGAATCATGAGCTGGTGAGTGAAAGAGACAGCAGGATAAAAATAACGGAATGCAGTATGATGTTGAATGTTAATCTGTTATGTTGAATTATAATGACCTCCTGAGGTCTCTTCCAGCCCTAGGATTCTATGATTCTATGATTATCTTTGCTCGTATTAGCCACAATACTACTGAGCACTGCTGTGCATAACACAGATTGTTATTTACTATTCTGAAAATATATGGGTTAGGATGCCAGATTGGGCAGTTCCCCATAATACCTGTTTTTAGGGCTGATTGAAAAAAATATTTTTTTTCCAATGGAAAATGCTTTTTCAAACAGTTTGGATATTTCTGTCCAGATTTTGGACAAAATAATTTGAAATGCAAAAAAAAAAAAAAAAATCATTACAATTTGAACTGAGAAGAATGAAAATGAAATATTTTCATTTCCCTTTTTTTTTTTTTTACCCCTTCCTCCTTCTTTTCTCTCCCTTTTCTAGGGGTAAATAAATGGCCAGATTTACTTTTATGTTCTTGCCAAGATAAACACCGATAGAAAACTTAAAGGCCACTGCATATAGGCACTAAGTGCCAGATTTTAAAAGATGTTGAAGTGCCTGACTCCCAATTAAATCAATGGGAGTTAGAGTCCAAATCAGATTTCGGGACGGGGGTTAGGCCAGCACTGAATGATAGTGAAAACCCACTGTTTGCTTGAAAAAATGCCCAAAATATTCTGTACTTTTGATTAAATCAATGGACTTTAGGTGTCTAAATATCCTTGAAAAATTGTCCCTACATGCCTTACACCCATGGTTTCAATGGGAGCTAGGTGTTTAGGTGCTTATCTACATCTTTAGGGGCCTTTGTAAATCTGATTCTTCTGGCTGGACTAAATCTTACTGAAGTTAATGGGAAAATGCCCGTTGACTTGAATGGTCTTTGTATGAAGTCCTTGTGCTATATTAGCATTTTTGGTTGTGTGGCATAGTTGCCCCTCAGTTGAATAACAAAATGTTGGCCTTTTCTATACTGCAAGAATGCTTCTCACTTCCTTGAAAGGACAATGGGGTATCGGGAAGAAGGTCCTCATGGGGATTTCCTCCTCAAAACCTCGCAGGAAGGATTAATGGCGGTCCACTACAGTTTAGTCAGGAAATCAGGCCCTGATTCTGCATCATTAAAGTCAATGGGAACTTTGGCATTGGCTTCAATGAGCATAGATTCACACCCACGGTCATCTTTGCTACCAAATAGACAGGTCCTGGATTTGAAGTTCAGCCATTTTGAATTAACCCGGTTGGTGGGGCTTCATTTTTTTTAACAGGAAGAAAGGATATTTTTTATTTTATGTGGAGTAAATTCAAAATGAACAAAACTGTATTTTTCGTCAACTTTCTTAACATAATTTTCCTCTGGGCTCTAATGGGAATGTGGAAATTTTCAGCAAAAACAGCGAAGATTTGCAAAAGTGAGAGGCTAGTGAAATCTGGGGTTTATAAGGCAAGACTCTGTATTCTTATCCATCACTTCCTCTAATTATGAATGCTCTACTTACCATTCACAATGCTACATTATTGAAAATGTAAATTTACCTGTCTGTAAATATTCTCCTCTTCCTCCCCTTCTCTTAGCTTCCTGATGAGATAGGACATGTACCCAGCCTCTTGGGTTGCTGAAATTTAGACAGGGAGAGAGTGACCCTTGTCTTGCAAACACTGATGCACGTGCTTAATGTGAAGCTTGTGTGCCTGTGTTGCCAGGACCAGGTTTATGTTTGTGAGCAAAATATTTTTCTTCCCTTCTAATCTTTTTACATATGACTTATGTGGTTGCACTAAGAAGAAACCTTCCTGAATAATCCTTTCTATTTCTATTTTCTTTTTCAGAGGCTGAATGAGAAGCTATTTAGGACATCTTTTTATAATATTTTTGACTGATCTTGAGTTGTTCTTTTTAATTTATACTGACACCTGCTTAGCTCATCATTTTTGGCATATTATTTATTTTTATTTCAAAATTTGTAAAACAATCATTAATTTTTTATTCATATTTATGTGAGGGGAAAAAAGGAAGTAATTGTAATTCTGATTTGACATCTTTGGAACAAAGATTGGAGGTAGGAAAATGTACAACTGCCCTTAAAGTCAGTGGAAATCAGTTCATTATAAATGGTAATTTGGCCAAGACAACTGGTGATTTGTAAATGCAGAGGTAGCTGTATTCATTGCATGCACAAATGTAGGCATGTAATTGAGCATACAGTCCTGCAAATGATCTATCTACTTTTCTGAAAATGTTACCCTAGAAATCTAACTTACTAGTATAGGAGACAAAAGTAATTTCTTTCTTCTGTGAAATCTGTCTATGCAACTGTACTGAATTAAAAGAATTATCCAACAGGAAAGTCAGGAATGGTTTCTGGAGGCACTGATACATTATTGATTTGCTCTTAAAGGACAGCAAAATAATGGAATATTATAATCTGTGATTCTGCCACTCCTGATCTAAGCCATATCTCTGTGTCTGGTATGCATCCTAAAGACTGAAACTGTAGTTGCTTGGTAGAGGACTGGCTGCTTTTCTCCTGGTGTCATGCTGCAGTAAAAGGACATTGGGAAGAAATTCAGAGAAATGCAGGTAGCCAGACCCCTTTGCTTCTTGTTCTCATACCCTCTTTGGATACGAAACTCTGTTGGAAGCTTTTCCCCTGCATACATTGCTTTGGAGTTGCCCAGCTTTATTTATGTACTCCCTTCCTTACTCCGCTTATATAGATGTGTTCTCATTGGTTGTATTCCTCAACTCAGATGTTTGGAAATCTATTCTATTGGCGTGCAGGGGAGATTCTCTTAGGCTATGTCTACACAGCAGCATTATTTCAGAATAACTGACATTATTCCAAAATAATATAGTCGGTGTCTACACATAAGCAGTTATTTCGTATATAATGTCTAAATCATTTTAAGCTGGAGGGCTGCTTACTCTGACCCCTGTAACCTCGTTGTAAGAGGAGTAAGTGAAGTTGGGGGAAGAGTGCTTTTTCTCGAAATAACTGCAGTGTAGACAAAAGTCTAAATAAGCGCCAAAAGTTGAAATAAATTTAGCTCTGCCATGTAGACGTGCTCTTACAGAGAAGCTTTTCTGCATTAGAAGAAGACAGGAGTCTGAAGAGCCACTTTTGATCTCATTCTCAGATATAGAGAAATACGTCAGTGACTGCTATTTTGGATTTTGTATGGAAATATGTGAATGATTGTCTCTAATTCTTTGTTTTCCTTCCACTAGTGCTGTTCTTTGTCAAAGTCTTGCATAGTGTAGGGAGATTATTGAAGTATCATTTATTTCTGCCTTTTTTGACATTCATTTTCTGTTATTTTGTATTTTTAAGATGTGAAGTCTCTGGGTTTACTATGTTAAATCTTAGCTCAAAATACTGTGCATACAGGTCTAGTACCCATCTGAAGGGTAGTCTTAGTTTTTGTGTGGTTTTGACTTGAATACATTCCCAACTTTCTTTCTGTTAATATTGGTATTTTGGGAAATATGCACTGCCTGTATTTTTTCTGCCTTTTGTCCCATCTCGTAATTCAATAAAAAATGTTTTCCTCAGAAGTATGTTATTTACATAGTATAGAAACAAAATCTTTGTAGGTGCGCACTGAATATATCTGCCATGAGTAGGTGTTCTTCTGATGTGGGATTTGAGAGGGTGCAACTATATCAGTGAAGGGGTAAATTAATTCCTACAACAATAACTATATCATATTGCTTATGTTGAAAAGATTTTTTCAAAGGCATCTGTTTCTTAAAATATTGTACACCACGGGCTATATTCAGAGCTAATATAAGCAGATGCAAATCAATGGTGTTGAGCCCATTTACCCTAGGTCTAATTTGGCCTCATGTGTATATCATATGTTATTCCAGCGCAGTGGTGAATAGATACTGGGCCAGATTAACTCTGCTGGAGGCCTAGAACTATTAGATTTTGTGCCCCCCCCCACCTCTTTCTCCTATAATCACATGTAGGGGGAGGCACAGCTTCAGGTCTTCCCCTGTGCTCTGGGGTGGACACAAATATGAGGGATTCAGCGTGTGGGAGGGGGCTCCAAGCTGGGTAGAAGATTGGTGTTTTGGGGGTGATGGTGCAGGCTCTGGGATGGGGCTGAGGATAAGGGGTTTGGACTGCAGGAGGTGGCTCTGGGCAGGAGGTTGGGTGTAGAGTTTGGGCAGGAGTTAGGATGTTGAGATAGGCTCAGGGCTGGGGCAGGGGGTTGGGGTGCAGGGTATGGGAGGGAATTAGGATGCAGGAGGAGGGCTCAGGGCTGAGACTTGGAGTGTGGGGCACTTACCTCAGGCAGCTCCTATTTCATAGTGCAACAGTACTGAGGCAGAATCCCTGCCTTCCTTGGCCCCACACAATTCTCAGAAGCTGCCAGCGTAAACCTGGCTGCAACCTCGGGGTGGGGGTGAGGGGCAGGCAGGTGGCTTCACATGCTGCCCTTGCCTGCAGATGCCACCCCCACAGTTCCCATTAGCGACAATTCCTGACCAATGGAGCTGTGGGGGCAGCACCTGCAGGTGAGGTCAGCACTGGAACTTCCCTGATCACAAGCCAGCGCTCCCAGATCCAGCCCAACCAGGGATAATTGCAGCCTGTGAAGCCATCTCCCTCCCTCCCCTCCAGTAGGGGTTGCAGAGACATGCCAGCAACCAGCTATTTCTGGGAACAGTGTAGGGCCACAGCACGCAGGCAGACTTCTTGTCCCCTGTGCTGTGCCACTGGATTTTTAGCAGAAAGGAAATCTTTTTGCAGGGCTCCTGTAGCTTAGGGTCCTGGGCACAGCCCTGACTATACAACTACAATAAATCATTTGTCCTGCTCTTGAGGCTGTACATGTCGTTCAGAGATCTTAGGAGGAAACTTTTTGGGCTACTACTATACCACAGCCTCCCTCAGAAGAGAAGAAGGATGGTCTAGTGGATAAGGCAGTAGTCAGTGAATTGGAAGAGTAGGCTTAGATCCTTTCTCTGCTGGAGACCTATTGTATGACCATGGGCAAGTCAGATTTCCCTCTCTGTACAATGGGGACAATAGTAGTTCTCTAGCTCACAAGAATGTTATGAGAAAAAGACATTAAGGATTGTGAGATGATCAGAGGCTACTGTAATGGGAGCCATATAAATACCTACCTAGATATCTAAAATACAAATATGGGGAACAAAGGACACCAGCAGGGCATTAACAAGATGCATCCACTTTAAATTAGAAGCAGAGAACTCTTTTGTTACTGTGGGATGAAAAAAGACTTAGCCTCCTAGCCTCTGCTCAGAGAGAGTGAGTTGCTTCTGTTCTGTCCAAAGGCATGCTACTCACCGGGAGAGGAGCTAGAGAAGAAGATACAAGAAAGGTTTTAATGGATGGATGATTCTGAAAAGCTTGGGCGAGTACAATATTTTTCTTCAGTTAACTCTGTGTTGCTTTTTGAATTGAATATAGTCTTCTGCGGTACTGGAAAAAGGCAGGCTGGGGATGTGGCCTTTGGGGCAGGGATGGGGATGAGGGTTTTGGGTGTGGGAGGTGGCTATGGGCTTGGCAGAGGCACTGAGGGGTATCCAAAGGGGCTCAGGCCTGAGGCAGAGGGTTGGGGTTAGGAGGAGATACAGGCTCTATGGTGGGGCCAGGGATGAGAAGTTTGGATGTGGGAGAGGGCCCAGGGCTGGGCATGTGGTGTCTGCGGTGGTCCCAGAGATGAGGGGTTTGGGGCACAGGCTTTGGGTGATGCTTACCTCAGCCACCCCCTGGCTGAGTAGCTGGGGGGCTCTGTACGCTACCCCTATCCACAGGTGCTGTCTCCACAGCTCCTATTGGCAGCAGTT